CTTTCTTCAGTTCATTGATTTGTTTGTGTGTTCTTTAAATTCACTGAATTCTTTCACTATGTTTTTAATTGTTCTTATGAATTCCATGTCCTGCATTATCGCTAGGGGGTTCTCATTGTACTCCTCTAGAGGACTAATGGTATTTGGTGGGGATATATTATTTTGATTTTTCATCTTATTATTTTTTTCTCTGTGATTTTGACATGTGAATTTCTTTTGTAGTTTCTGATTCTTGCGTGAGACTCAGGCCTTCAAGTTTAGGTCTGCTTCTTTTTGTGAACTTTATGTGTGTTTGTGGTTTACTTTTTGGGCATGAAAAGCTGGTTTTTCTAAGCTTCCAATTCTCTCTTTTGATTTTATATTGGAGTGACTGGATTTCTTTTGTCTTCAGGAGTTCCCACCGAGGCCCAATTCAGATGAGGGTCAGATGTTTTCAGGCTTTCTCCTAAGGTCTGGATCCCTCCAGGAACGAATTTGGCCTCAGGAATTTGGGGGTTGAACTGGCCTGGGAGCCTCGCCCAGGAAAGTTGCTGGTCTAGGGCAGCTGATGGCCATGCCACCCAGAGATGCAAAGTCAGATGGGGCGGGAAGAGGCCTCAAGGACTCTTGGGGACTGCACTGAGGAGCTGTGTTGGTCTGGATGCAAAGGATCAGGAAGTGGAAAAGTCATTCCAGTGTCCCAGAAAGAGGCTGGGGGATGGTGCAAGCCCAGGGAATCAGAGGGAGGTGAGGGCTGGGCCATGCCCAGAAGTAGTGCTCCTGGGGCCCAGAGAAGGCACTGTTGGACTGGATGAAAAGGATCAGGAAGCAGTATTGGTTTCCCACATGCCTGGGGCCCCAAGACAAGGAATGGGGCAGGGCCCAAACTCCAAGGAGAGAAAGAGAACCCATGGGGGAGATGGGAGGGTGAATGAGGCTGGGGGCCTCAAAGTGCAGTGGCTGGAGCAATGGATTTACCCTGGGAGAGAGGCCTGTGGTAGGAGAGAGGCCTGTGGTGGTCTTTCAGGCCCAGGGAAGCAGAGCTGTAATTATTTTTTAATTGTTAAAATTTGATAATTTATTGTAAATCTTTTTCCAAATAGTTAGGATGTTATTTTATTTTTCATTTAGGTTGCTAAAGCTTCTTTTCAACGGAACAATGATGCCTTAGATGCTGCATTATTCTACCTTTCAATGAAGAAGAAAGCAGTTGTGTGGGGTCTGTTTAGGTAAGTTGCCTCATCATTTCATATGATTTAATTTAGTGAAGATTGTTTTGAATCAGAACTCTAATGCTTTAAAGAATTCCTTGAGGGCTGGAGGGAAGGCTCAGTAGTTAAGAACACTTGCTGTTCTTCCAGAAGACCTGGGTTCTGTTCCCAGCACCTACATGGCAACTAACAACTGTCCTTAACTCCAGTTCCAGTGGCTCTGATGCCCTCTTCTGGCCTCCGCAGTCTTTGCACAACATGGGTCCATTTACATACATGCAGGCAATACACTCAGACACATAAAATAAAAATAAATAAAAATTTTAAAAAGCCCTAAAAAAAATAATTCATTGCATGAACTTTTAAATCAGTTTTCTTCTTTATGACTTGGTTCTTTTAGTATAGTGAATGGACGGAATTTCTTTTCATTTGATTTGAAAGATAGAATGTTATTAAAAATGTTGATAAAAACCGGGTATGGTGGCTCATGCCTTTAATCCCAGCAGGTGGATCTCTGTGAATTCAAGGCCAGCCTGGTCTACAAAGTAAGTTCCAGGCTAGTTGGGGCTACAGGGAGACTGTCTCAAAAAGACCAAAAAAAAAAAAAAAAAAAGCATATTGGAAAAAGTGAAAGATAATCTTACTTTCTGGTTATGTACACACAGCACACTGGCTTTCTTTATTAGAAGGAAAGCTTGCAAGTAGTACCTGTAGTCCAAGCTGTTGGTCTTTAAGTTGGACACTTGAGTTTTTTTACATTCTGTAAAGAATTAAAATATTTAATCACTGGTGTTTCTGTTCTGGTTTCCAGGTCACAACATGATGAAAAAATGACAACTTTTTTCAGCCACAACTTTAATGAAGACAGGTGGCGGAAAGCTGCTTTGAAAAATGCTTTTTCTTTACTTGGAAAGCAACGCTTTGAACAATCTGCTGCCTTTTTCTTGCTAGCTGGTTCATTGAAAGATGCCATAGAGGTATAAATAAGTAAATAAGGAATGGACCTGCGAAATATTTGCAGGAGGTTTAAAAGCTGAAAGGATCCTAGAGGAGACTACAGTTTTTGTTACATGTTTTGAAGAGCAGAATAGCTTGCAAGGTTGCTGAACTGTGCTAAATTATAAATATATTCAAGGGAGAACTGTAATACCATTTGTGGCATATTACATTTCAAGATAATGTTTAAAATTTATGGAAAAATGGCAAAATGGATTATGGATTATGAATGTCTCCTTCCTCCTCATCTTGTGATTCTGAACCATTTAAAATATGACCATAGATCAAAACCTCCTTATCCTATACAGAAAAGCTGATAATTTAAGTACTTGTAAATGAGTTCAGATAAGGAGCTAAAGTAGCAGTTTGTATTGTTCTGTGATACACTTGCCTTAGATATTGGGAATGAATATGAGGAGGTGAAACTTTGAAAATTTTGATATGTAATCCTAGCAGGTGATTAAGAGAGTAATCATTAATGTTTCTGTTTCTTTATGAATCTTCCTTTTGGGTTAGTTACTCCCTTTTTGAACAATCCACACAGATGAAGGAAAAATAGAAAACGTGAAATGGGTGTGGTCATGCATACCTGTAATCCCAGTAGTTGGGAAGCAGAGGCAGGAAGATCACTGCAAATTTGAGACGTGCCTATGCTACAGAGTGAGACCCTCCCTCAAAAAAACCAAAAAGATGATAGGAGAAACAGAAAACCTCTAACAAAAAGAAAATAGTGTAAAATTTAAAAGTAGGCCTTTCCCCACACACACACTTAGGCATATTTGTAATACTTACAGTTACAAAACACTTACAATTTTGAAATGGAAACATTAGCTTATAAGATACTCAAAAGGAGGAAGAGAAATGTTGATTGAGAGATGCTCACATTGTGTAAGTGACTTCAGCTCTCAGAATCAGTAGTTACATTTGAATTACCTACTAAAGAGTAGGAATAGATTATGTACCTGCTTTATAAGTTATTTGTTAAGTAATAGAAAGTTCTTTAAAAATAGTGTGTTTATATGAAAATAAATTCAGAAATTAAGAGGAACTGATGTATAAATTCAAGCTTTTAATTTTTATTTTATGTGTATGAGTGTATTACCTGCATGTTTGTAAGTGCACCTGTGTCATGCAGTGCCCTCAGAGGTCAGAAGAGGGTGCTGGATTCCCTAGAACTGGAGTTACAGATGGTTGTTAGCTGCCGTGTGGGTGCTGGAAATTGAACCTGGGTCCTTTGCAAGAGCAGCCATTGGTCTTAACCACTGAGCCATCTCTCCAGCCCTAAATTCAAACATTTTAAGTAATGTTTAACTTAAAGATAAATGCTATTTAAAGTGACCTAAGACTGAGATGATATTGACATACTTTTTTTGATACTTATTTTGTGGATGATTGTTCATTTATAATATATAATGATCATTCATATTAAATATTTCTTAATATTTAAATTTGCAGGTATGTCTTGAAAAAATGGAAGATATTCAACTAGCCATGGTTATTGCCCGTTTATTTGAGTCTGAATTTGAGACTTCATCGACTTATATATCTATTTTGAACCAGAAAATTTTGGGTTGTCAAAAGGATGGCTCAGGATTCAATTGCAAAAAATTACATCCTGACCCTTTTCTTCGAAGTCTTGCCTATTGGGTAATGAAAGATTACACCCAAGCATTGGATACATTATTGGAACAAACACCAAAGGAAGATGATGAACATCAAGGTAGATTTTTGTGGGTTTCCCAGTATCTTTTTTTGTCTTTTTGAGATAGGGTCTCCTGGTAGCTGGCCTAGAACTCCCTATATAGACTAGGCTGGCCTTGAACTTACAGAGATCCACCTGTCTCTGCACCCCCCGACCCCCCCAGTGCTGGGATTAAAGGTGTACACCATTATGCACAGTCCTAGTATCTTTTTTGAAGGACAGCAGTGTGGGGGGTGGGTCTCATGAGCACTGACCCCTTGCTGAGGAGCTACTGACAGTTGATAGCTTCTTGGGAAGGGAGAATTGGTTTTCTTGAAGGATATGGCCTCTGGTAGGTTGACCACACTCTGGTGAATGACCCCACATACATGAGTATATGGATAGTACAAATTGGACTCTGCAGGTAATTTTAAAAACAAATAAAAAGAGGGCATGAAGTTGGGAGGGAATAGGGGGTAGTTTTTCTGGGAGGAGTTAGGGGAGTAGTGGGTGGGGTGAATATGATCCAAATACATTTTATGCATGTATGAAATCCTCAGAGAATTAGTAAAAATAGTGTATTAAAAAAGGAAGACAATTTCCAAACGTAAAAAAACCCACCTCATTGTTATACAGTTTCCTTGACATTTTTTGTGGGGGTAGGGTCTTATATATTTTTATTTTTTTTCAGTAACACCTTTTTTTTTTTTTTTGGTCTTTTTTGAGACAGGGTCTCCCTGTAGCTCCAGCTGTCCTGGAACTCACTATGTAGACCAGGCTGGCCTTGGATTCACAGAGATCCTCCTGCCTCTGCCTCCCAAGTGCTGGGACTACAGGCGTGCACCACCATGCCCGGTGCTTTTTTGGGTCTTATATATTTTAGGGTGACCTGGAACTCACTATATAATTCATGCTGTCCTTGAACTCATGATCTTCCTGCCTTAGCCTCCTAGTGCTGGGCTTACAGGTATGCATCACCATACCCCAGATCATTTATATATATGTAGAAATACATATGAAATTTTTTTCAAGTTTTTTTTTAATGTAGAGAAATCCATCTTCTCTATTCCCTTCATTTTCTTTTCTTTTCTTTTCTTTTCTTTTCTTTTATTTTTTGGTCTTTTTGAGACAGGGGTCTCCCTGTAGCCTGAGCTGTCCTGGAACTCACTATGTAGACCAGGCTGGCCTTGGATTCACAGAGATCCTCCTGCCTCTGCCTCCCAAGTGCTGGGACTACAGGTGTGTGCCATCATGCCTGGCTCCCTTCACTTTTCTTAAGGAAAGTAATTGTTAGTGTTCTTGCATTAAAAATATGAGCAAATATGCATGTATGTGTCTATATACTCTCTACCTTGTATTTAAAAAATTTGCACACACCTTTAATCCCAGCACTCAGGAGCCAGAGGCAGGCAGATCTCTGTGAGTTCAAGGTCAGTCTAGTCTACATAGTGAGTTCCAGGACATCTGAGCCTACAGGGAGATCCTTTCTCAAAAAAGACCAAAAAAAAAGTATTATTTTTATTTTATGTATATGAGTGTATTGCCTTCATGTATTCAAAGCACCTGTCTTGTGTAATGCCTGTGGATGTGATCAGAAGAAGGCATCAAATTTCCCGGAACTGGAATTAAGGGCAGTTGTTAAGGTGTTGGAATTGAACCTGGGTCCTCTGCAAGAGCAACCAGTGCTATTAACCCCTGAGCTATCTCTTCAGCCCCCCTCTCCCCTTCTTTAAATAAAAGGTTATTGATAAAAAGCACTTCCTGCACCTTCATTTCTTCTTCTATCTTTACTCCATAGCATAGAGAGATTCTTTTTATTTCTGTTATATAGATTTAATGATTACATGAATGTACCATGGTTCCATCAATGCTGAGTCAATGTTTATATGTCCTTTATTTTTGAGGGAATACTAATTTGTTTTCTTCTCTTACAATAGAAATTCAAAATAACACAGAAACTTGTGATTTTATCTGTTGCTTTCTGCAGTTATCATCAAATCTTGTAACCCTGTGGTGTTTAGTTTTTACAACTACCTTCGAACACATCCTTTGCTTATTCGAAGAAATCTTGCCTCCCCTGAAGGAACTTTGGCAACTTTAGGTCTCAAAACAGAGAAAAACATTGCAGATAAAATTAACCTCATAGAAAGGAAATTATTTTTTACCACTGCAAATGCTCATTTTAAAGTTGGATGTCCTGTTTTAGCCCTCGAAGTACTTTCTAAAATCCCTAAAGTAACAAAAATATCTTCCTTACTTGTAAAAAAAGATCAGCCTGACTTTATTTCTAAAAGGAAGGAGAATGGACCATCAGAGTCAAAACCTCTGAGTGATCGCAATGGCAGTTCTGGTGCTGACTGGTCAGCCATGACTTCATCTCAGTTTGACTGGAGTCAGCCAATTGTTACAGTTGATGAGGAGCCTCTTAGTCTTGATTGGGGTGAAGATCATGATAGTGCCTTAGAAGAGGATGATATGGAAGGTTTAGTAATGAAGAATACAGATGCCAGGAGAAAAGATGGGCAGGATCAGAAGACCTCAGACCCTAAATCATCATTTACCCCTCAGGAAGAGGATTGTCCTGAAGGTGATACTGAAGTTGATGTCATTGCTGAACAACTAAAGTTCCGAGCTTGTTTGAAGATCCTTATGACTGAATTAAGAACTTTGGCTACAGGTTATGAAGTAGATGGAGGAAAGCTAAGATTTCAGCTCTATAACTGGCTTGAAAAGGAAATTGCTGCCTTACATGAGATATGCAATCATGAATCAGTTATTAAAGCATATTCCATGAAAACATATTCCAAAGTAGAAAGTGATCTTCTGGATCAGGAAGAAATGGCAGACAAACCAGATATTGGTTCATATGAGCGCCACCAAATAGAAAGACGAAGATTGCAGGCTAAACGAGAGCATGCAGAAAGGCGAAAGTTGTGGTTACAGAAAAACCAAGATCTCCTAAGAGTGTTTCTCAGTTACTGTAGCCTTCATGGGGCCCAAGGTGGTGGTCTGGCCTCAGTAAGAATGGAACTCAAATTTTTGCTACAAGAATCTCAGCAGGTATGGCCCTCACTTGTTTTCATTCTTGGCTAGTCCAGCGATTTCAGCAGCTCTTCCAATTATAGCTGTACACATATTCTTACAAATGAATCTAAGTGTGTTCAGCTTCTATATTCTTAGGGGGTAGATATTTTTATCCAATGTGTTTTTTTCTTAGAATAAGGTTTTAGTAATTAGAAGTATACTCAAGCTTGCAAGCACAGCTGTTATCTTCATACCTTTTGTGTCTAGCACAGAATCCAGTATACTGTGTGCTCAGTAAATGTTCATAGAATGAGAGAACAGATCCATGAAATACTGCATTCATCCATCCATTCATCCATCCCTCCATCCATCATCTATTCATTATGCTTATTTATTTTTTGAGACAGGGTTTTACTCTGTAGCCCTAGCTGACCTGGAACTTGTATGTGGACCATTTCAGGCTGGCCTCCATCTCAAACTGATCCACCTGCTTCTGCATCTCCAGTGTTGGGATTAAATGCATGTACCCCATACCTGGCAAGCATACTGCTTTTATTCTGGTGTTTACTACCTGTGTTTTATCTGGTAACTATTGTTTTTTTACCTCTTTCATTTTAACTATTTTGAAAATAATTCATTGTCATCTGTAGGAAACTACTGTAAAGCAGCTCCAGTCTCCACTACCATTGCCTACCACCTTGCCTCTGCTTTCAGCAAGTATTGCTTCAACAAAAACAGTCATAGCTAATCCTGTATTGTACTTAAATAACCACATCCATGATATACTTTATACTATTGTTCAGATGAAAACACCACCTCATCCCAATATTGAAGATGTTAAGGTAATGTAAAATTCATGATTGTTTGATATTGTACATACTGAAAAGGTAAATTTATTATTATTGTATATGCCCCAATTTGAATGTAGAGAGAATATTTTAAAATGATTTTATATACTGCCTTTTTACTTCTGATGAGTTCAAGACTGCAAGGAGTGTACTTTAAATGTATTCATTCTTATTTCTGGAAAAGTTAGTCTTCCTTTAAGGCAGAGAGATACCTTTTGTAATAAAACTAATTTTCTTGACCATATTTTTGCTACTTAATATCCATTTTGATTTTCTGTTCCCCTAAATGAAATTGTAAGCCAGAAATATTCATAACTCTTTGTTTACATGCCAAGAAAATATGAAAATGTAGGTTGAGGAGGAATACTTGAGAGAAAAAATCAGAAATGGTTCCAGAGATAGTATCCTTGCCACTCTTTGCCTGATGATTGTTCATTTGGAGGCTGTGCCAATAGGTAGGAGCAATCATAGTTCTGAGAATTACTACTCTAAATTAAACCTGTGCTGAAAACTTAGTGGATAAATCCCAAGAAACACTAGGGAGCTTGGCAGGGTCAGGGTAGCTGGTTCAATTTCTGCTGTATAGACTAAGTCTATTTGAGCTATGCCTTTTCTAGTTCCAGTGACTAATGTGCATTTCAGCCCCCCTGTGTTTTTATTCCTTTTCTTGTTTGTTTGACAGGCATGTTTAATCTCTGTTAGCATATTCTTCTGAGGGATCCCGGACTCAATGATCATACTCTTAATTCATCGCATGAATTAACCTATATTGGTATTTTTGTAGAGATTAATTAAATTATTTGTTAGGTAAAAATATAGAAAAGACAAAATTTATTGCAAGTTCTAAGTAAATGTCCCCAGTTCCTTGAAATTTAGATTAAGACTTTCAAAGAGCGTGTAACTATTTCTGAATCCCTTCTAATTTTAAGATTTTATGAGTCTGGAAGTGTTAATTCAGTGTGGCATTTTAGATATAGTTTAAAATATACAGAGAGAATTTTTTAATTTTATAAAAATAAAATGTTAAAAGAATCTCCCTTTCTTATGAATATTGACTGAATTATTTGCTTTCTGGAAAACCAGTCATTTCACACAGTGATTGATACTCTTACTCAACAGTCGTTGTTACTGAGAAGATTGAATCTTTATTTTCAAGGGTAATTTCATAAGGCAAGCTTAAATGAAAGGTCTGCAAATTCCATACCTACTTGTTTTTTTTTATATTATTATGTAAACTAGTTGTAGTTGTTTAAGACAAGTCCCAGGAGCATCAACACTAGTCTTTGCTTAGGGCCTAATAAGCATCAGGCTCATAGTGAGTAGATATTTGAAAAAGATATGTCTGAATCAGTCAGCCTTGTTGTTGGGCATGCGTAAAAAATAAATATGAGCTATTTAAAAGTTTAAAAGCAGAGCTGATAGTCTTATATAGGTCCGGTTTTATTTATGATATTGCTAGTTTCCTGAGTACTTTCTAATTTTTAAGATATTACTGTTGTGTAGAAATGTTAGTACAAACTGTAATTGTGGCTGTTTTGGTTTTAGGTGCACACACTTCATTCACTAGCAGCATCACTTTCTGCATCAATTTACCAAGCATTATGTGACAGTCATAGCTACAGGTAAAAAAAAAAACAAAAAAACAACAACAAAAAAAAAACACCCAAAATACTATTAATACAGCAAAACATTCAACTGCTCCAGACTTTTATTAGGGTTCTGTTTCTTAGGGATTGAAAAAAGTCCCCCAATATGACTAAGGTGTACTTTAACAGATAAAATGAACCCAGAAATAAAATAATTATTTGTTTAATTTATGTCACCCAA